AAAAAAAAAAAAAAAAGAGCCGACAAACGGGGACTGCGGCTGGAACTCGTCGTCTTCGTGTCATTCCTCCTGTGAATGTAGGGCACGGGGGTCTCGTGTGAAAACAAATGCGGTCGTTATGAGGGATAATCTTGACGGATTCCGAATATTTCTGCTGTTCCCAGCTAATCACAGCTGTCACATGTTGTTATTAGGACATTGTCCAGGTCTGAAACAAAAGATTTTCGGCATTTTCTCTGAATATAAATTGTGAATCTGAAGGCATTCAGTAAAAGCAACAGTGTTTGTTTTTCCCCTGTGCTGACTGGAACAGAATCGCACCTGCACGACACGGAAACGACCGGTCAGCCACTGAAGCAAAGCCAAGAGGAAGTTCAGTATATAATAATTATAATAATAATAATAATAACGTATTTTCCTCTTCCTTCAGGTATGCGAGTTGGTTCGCTTCCTCATCGAGAACTGCAGCAGTGTCCTGGGAGAAGACGTTACCATGCTGTTCAGGAACTATAACCAGAAGAGCTGCAGCAGTGACCATGGATCAGGTACCACATTGATCGGAGCGTCCACGTACAGTAGGAAAAAGATGGTTGACCGTCGGTGACTCATCATGGAGTCGGTGTCCAGACAGTAGTCAAACGTATACAAAAGATGTTCAGTGGCGCTGGTTTGTCCACTGAACTCCGGCGTGGAACGTTCAGTGGGTGTAACAGAAACCTGGAGCCGTGATGATGAATAAACACAGTCAGGATTGGGGATTCTCCGAGATGAGAGAGAGAACAAAGAACAAACGGTCACCCTGCTCCGTGCCGTCTGACATCGATTTATTCATGGAGGAAAATACAGAAAAAAGTTGGTTGTATTTATGAATGAGGAGATTCAGACCTGTGCTAATTTGCACCTATGACCCCAGCAATCACTGCAAATTAACCGCAGGTCAACACCCCCTGACCCCGATCAACACACAGTCAACGACAGAGCTTGTTTTGTTATGACCCGTACACTGAAGCAGTGTTAACACAGGGTTAGAGTAGAGTCCTGTCGAGTAAATTCAAAAATCCACAAATGAAATGTTGTAGTAGAAATGGACAGGGCTCCTCAACCCCTGGTCTGGGGGCCATTGTCGGTCCATAGGTCATTTGGCACCGGGACACGGTGAAAAAATCTACTTTAGTTTTACTAATTTACTTCATTCCATATCGCTTTACTTTTTTCATTTAAAGATAATCTGACAATGTTAAAAAAAAAATAGGTGAAAATCTATCGATCCTTCAACAATGCGAAAAGCGATGTTACCGGTCCACATCTGAGACTGGTACAAAATACTGGTAGTCCTTGGTACAAAAAGCAGTTCATGCTTCATATTTTAATAATGGATTTTAATAATACCAATTTCCTCTTTTTTCCCTTTTCCCATCCTTTTCTTCCTAAAGACGCGGCGTCCTTCCAGATGAACGACTCCTCCTACGACAGTCTGGAGAACGAGCTCAACGACGAGCCAGAGTCTCCCTACCAGGAGCAGCTGCCGCTACGGGACAAGGACAAGCCCGACAGCTGCAGCCGCGACTCCGTCATCACCCTCAGCGACTGCGACCCCGATCTCGACCAGGAAGCCGACCTGCAGCTCCCCCCGCTGGCCAGACCCAGGAGGTTCAGCCCGGCGGTCCGGCAGCACCGCAGCCGTCAGGTCAACGGAACTTCGCTGGGTTCGAGGAGGCTGAGGAGAAGCTCAGAGCCGGCTTTGACCCTGGCAAATACGACGCCACCGTCAGGCCCTTTTGTGGTTCATGCTAGCAACCACTGCCCCCCACTGAGGAAGGCGAGCTACGATGCTGCCATTGATGGGGAGAGGGAGGAGGGAGAGGATGAGGTGTTTCTGGAGCAGGCGCTGAATGGGCTTCAGCTCAAAGAGGAGCTGGTCGACACTTGTGAGAAAGCAGGTGCCAAAGTCCAGAACGGCGGGCGGAGAAAGTCGAAGCATGCGCCTCCACCTCCATTAAGGCTGGACGCCAGCTGCTCCAGTCTGTCCTCACCGGCAACCTCCCCCACAGGCTCCTCCCTCAGCTCCTTAGACTCCGCCTTCTCTCAGTATTCCACTGACTACGCCAGCAACGCAGTGATTTCATTGGCCGAGCCTCCTCCTCCACCTCCTCCTCTATCCCCACTTCTTCCCGGTCGACCCCAGCAGGACGCTACGCCCCAACATCCACCGCCTTCTCGCTCCGTCCAGAACAACTCCATGCCTCAACCCAGCACCTGGTTGAAGAAGGGCTGCCGTCGGTCACTGAAGCAGCGCGAGAACGGGCACGCGGAAGACAATTCGCCCGCAGTGAATGGGAAACCAATCGCAAACTGTAACGGTTGCGCCGCCGTTGCACCGGAAGCAGCACCTGCAACGCCTCAAAGCGGCCAGAGGAGACTCAGCAGCCCTCCTTCCTACCAGCAGGCTTTGCTGCAGCTGCAGCGTATCCGTTCACCTTTCTACAGGGGATCTGAAAACCCCCTGACGGTCCGAGAGCTGAGGCAGCTCCACCACCACACCTGCACCTCCAGACCCCCGATCCCCAACTCTGCCGATGATGCCAAAACCCCGACAGGGAGCGAGGTCACTCAGAGACTTACCGGAATTGAGTGCGTGCAGCCCCCACAGGGTGTCTTCTACGGCCAAGGTGCCACCGCTCTGGTCCTCCAGAGGCAAAAGTCCAACTCTTTGTCTCCGACTCTGGACGGATACAGAGTAAAGACACTTCCTCTCCCGCGTCGAGCATCCGAACCCGCAAAAGTCCCAACGAACCCTTCTTATACCCTTTCCTTGAACAGATCTCGAATTGTCAAGGGTCAGACCCAAGAGGGCGGACTGAGAGTGTCGGACGTGGAGCCGAACCACCAGGAGGCGCATTACTGCCTGTCTCCTTCCGCCACTCGGGCCGTTCGGGACTACTTTTCCTCACAGGATCGTAAGGATTCAGATGCGTGTTTGCGGCGAAGTCAGGAGGTGGCGTTGGCGATCGTGCAGGGTAAAAGGGAGTGGCAGAGCAAACGCTGCAGCGACCCGCGAATGGACGATTTCGAAAAGCTGTTTTTTGCCGAAGAGTCGTACGTGTAGATATTTGTGCGTGTGCGCGTGAGAGTCCTCCAAAAAAAAAAAAAAAAAATCTTAGGTTATTCCAGGTAATGGTACACCTGGTCACCTGGTCCTCCCCTTGTCCTCCGTTACCATAAACCAATAGTTCCCAGAGTTAGGAATATTTTTGTGGCTTTGTGCTATGTTTGAAGTTCAAATATTTTTCTTGTTTTACTTGCAGTACAGTAATGAATTGGTGGGCCACATCATCTGTGGGTTATCGGGTTTACATCAAAAGTCTACAATGTGGGCCACTCACCGTTAAAATTTGGATTGGAATGTGGCCCACAGTCAAGATACCTCACGTAGGCTGGTAAAATTGTTGCTTTATGCCATACTGTATGTGGCACTGAATAATATAATACTCGGGGTGCCCAAATTGTAAAGCTGGGGTGTCAAACTAATTTTGGTTCAGGGCCCACATACAGCCTGATTAGATGTCAAGTGGGCCGGACCAGTACAATCATCACATAATTACCAATAAATAACAATATAGGTGTCTTTCCCCTTTGTTTTCATGCAAATAAGTACAAGTATATTAGAAAATACTTTGACAAAACATCATGAACATGAAGCGTTCAAAATTCTTCAAGTGGGCCGCATTGAACCCCGGAGTGGACCGTTTCTGGCCCGCGGGCTGTATGTTTGACACCCCTGTTGTAAAGGGAGCGCATGAGATCATGAGCAAAGAAAAGAAAATTTAAAAATACATATTAAATTATTAAATAAAAACATATTAGGCCTGTAAAAAATTGTGTTCACCATAAATGAGTACAAATATATTTAACGTTTTGAATGTGGGTAAATCACTTTAACCTGGTTATTTGAATTATGGCTCCCAAGCCAGAATAGTGTGGGCGCCCCTGCTCTAGAATATGTGGCTACACCAACAGCCGTTCACTGCAGTGATTCAAACGTGTTTCATTCGAATATGAATTATGGATTTTTTTAGTCAGATTTCTAGCCAGCGGGTAACATAGCAACCAAACTTCAACCAAAGCTTTTCGCTTCACTTTCTGGAATCTAAATAGAGTCTAATGCGTTCCAGATTGCCGCCATGTAGAGTTCACGCAAAGTCTACATGTACATGAGAGCCTGGTGAATTACTGTGTGTGGCCCCCTCCAGGCCGAAACAAGAAAAAAAAAAAAAACATTTCTGAACACTGGGTTTAGTTGTTGTTTTAACTCAAATCTATTTCTTTTGTAAATCCATGTGTCCCACTGCTCAGACTTGTTTCTTCAAAGATATAATAAATCTCATTGTATAGACGTTGCATCTTCATGTTTTGTGGACCGTTGCTCTTGCAGTGACGTCCATACCGTCCGCAGGACTCAGTGAAGCAGTCAGGTCTGTATTTATTTGGGAGTTTCCACAGGGGCTCAGTGTTGTCCTTGTGGAGCTCTGCTTTATGTCTCCGTCACCTGGAAGGGAGGCAGGGAGGGGGGAGGAGGACCAGGAGGGAGGACAAACTGTCAGTGTGTGTTAGTGAGCCGATCAGTGTGACATGATCATTGTCAGTCCGACGAGAGTGTGAGAGGAAAACATTATAGTATGGGTTCATTTTTTCTTGTATTTAAAGCACTTCAACAGTCTCTCATTTAAGTACACAGTATGTTAGGTGTGTGTGTGAGTGTGTGTGTGTGTGTGTGCCGTCGTAAGTGCATAAACAATGTTTCAACGTTTAACTCACATCATTAGAAATGTGATGTCTCCTAATGTGACACTTGTACGGCCTTATTCTACTGTGACTTCACGGACAGAAACGCCAGGGAACGAAACTTTCCTAAATTCTTTTTCTGTAAAATAAAGTCACCTTATGGTAATTCTAAGAAATAACTAAAGTTTCTCCTTCAGACCACAGTTAACTTGTTTCTTATTTTTCCACTAATCTTAAACATTTAGATATGTTGTTCTACTGTCTAGGTAGCGTAGCGTATGGCTTATTTTAGCTTTTAAGTGTTGTAGCTAACTTTTAGCTTTTCATTTATTCCTAAATGTGGTCTAATCTAGTTGTCTTTTGTTGTCATCGATTTATGTTGAGCTAAATTTTTAGCACTTTAAAATTTCTATTTATATGTCTATCTCCATTAGCTACATTTACTGACGGTTTGGCTATTTCTTGTTTCCTTTAGCTAACTTATATCTACTCTGTATTTATACATACAGAATACCAGACTGCTAAAAAATAGCACTCCCAACTGTTTCGACTAAACGCCGTCAGTCTTTCAGCCAAATACAAAGTGTTTTAGCTACAAGCTACCTCTGCTAATTTCTAACCCTGGTGTTTACAGTAAATACACAGCTGTAGATACTAAGATATAATGTCACAGTGTTATTCGATAAATGAAGCGCGGTGAAATAAGGCCGTACGAGTTTGTACGAGAAGTGCTGCCATGTAAAAAGGCTCAGAAATGGACATTGTCCTGTTTTTATTCCTACGTTACTCCCTTCCTCTTTTACAGTGAATTGTGTCAAACATGTAACAAAGCCTCAGCGTATTTATGGTAAAGAAAAAGCATACGTTTTTAGATATGGTTCATATGTATGAATGTATGCTTTGAATAAAGATATATAGAAGTATATAAGTAAATATATGTCCTTTGGTATGTTTTGTGAAGAACTAAAATATCACGTGTACCTTTGTACAAATGCCAATTCTGCTGCTGCTGTCGCTATAGAAAGTATATTTGCTACATAAAGCACCATGTATATATTCTGTTCACCTGATGTCCGGCGTTTGCCAGAACAAAATTGTCATGGATTTGAATAAATGTTGCTCTAAAGGAGATTTTCTGTCATCTCATTGTTGCGTAGCCACTCGAAAAGGAAACACACGTCGTAATTCTGTTCCCGCGATGTAATCATAAGCACCTTTGTCACTCACCTACGCTAACACAGAATAATGGGAAAAAAAGTTCCTAATAAATGCATGGGATATGCAGATGCAACCACGAAACGTCGTAGTTCGAGGACATCGTAATCCAAGGGTGTCAAACATACGGCACGTGGACCGAACCTGGTCCGTTAGGGGGTTCAATCCGGCCAGCTTGATGAATTTTGAAAGTAATGGAGAAACACTTCAAGTTCATGAAGATTGGCTAATACGCGTACTTGTACTTATGTGCATGAAAACAACGGGGGAAAACATGGACATGGACCCCTGTCGTAAACTGAGGACCCCTTGTAGTTCGTAGCCCGTTACATCAAGCAGCTGAAGTCTTTAATACAGTGATAACGGCTAAATAATTTTAGTCAAAGTAACCAAGTGTCTTTTCAACACAAAGATTTACAAGTGCATAACCTAATAGCAGATCTTTATAAAGTTTACCAAACTTTCTTGGAATGGGGTGTGTACTAAACTCTGCGTATGAATCCCAGAAACTCGTAAAAATATTTCAGGGAGGCCATATTTGAAGTTTGTTTTCCTTACAGCGCCGTTCCAGTTTGCAATCCTTACAACCCTGGGAGCGAACACCCCTCGCGCTGAATTACTGTGTATTTACAAAAGGCATTCTGACATGTCAGGACCGGCAGAAACACACCGCAAATCAACAAAAGCCTTTACCATTTCTACAGCTGTTTACTTCACTCTCCTCGTATGAGGATAAAATAAACAGTGAGTATTTACCGATGTGCTCCACTGCTCCGATTTGCTCCAGCAGCTGACGTAATCCGGCCACATCTATGTTGCGTAACAGGGTTTGTCCCCAATAAAACCGTTTATAAGAAAACTCCAACGCTACAGTTTATTCCTCATAAAACATAGTACTAGTATTTAAAAAAAAACACATGCACTTTAATGATAATCTATCAAGGTATATGAGAGCTGTAGGTTACTATCATGTCGGACTTAAGACTTAAAGTCCGTTAGCTTCAGGCGACACACTTGCTCTGCTGCTGCCTCCTGTGGTCAGTTTGTGTCAACACAGCAACATCATTATATTTTAATGACATTTTCTCGTTAACGTGTACTGCATGTTTTAAATCGGACGGTCACTCTTCTTCTCTTCCTCTTTCAGCAACAAAATAAAGTCACTGACATTCAGACACTTCCTCTAGCCGACCACCTCATATTTCACCAGTGGAAAAAAAAAACAGAACAAGAAAAAAATAGCACTTCTGCACAGACTACAGGACAATAAATCTACAGCGTCATTTCCTGTTGTGCTGCTGGTGGTGGGGGTAGGGTCTGCACCTGAGATGTTTTAGAGGGTTGCTCTGGATTCCTGCTCCCAGCATCTGGAAAAGGTTTGGTGGGAATGAATATTGATGGCGAACGGCGAAGCTGCATCAGATTAAAAGTTGTCACCTGACGAGCGGCCTCACGAAGTTTGGACACGAGAATGTACGATTTAAAAGGCGCCGGAGTCGGAGCGAAGGTGACCCGAGGAAGGCGCTGTTGTAACCTTAAACTTGAACAGTCTGAATGAGCGACAGAGTGGGTTTTTATTTCGGCACTTTGCTCACTGATGTTAGACACTACATCATCTTTTATGAGATTGTTTTTATTTTTCTGTGGCGCGTCACAACGGAAAGTCCTAATGAAAATCACCTGTGGGTTTTCGCGGAGTCCTGGGACACTGATGAAGACTGACGTAGTTTGGTTTTAACATCCTGTCATTAGATCTGACTTTGATTCCAGGGAATGACCACAGAATGTCGGGGTAATCAGGAATTTAGTGACGCCGCTTCGTCAGGTCTTGTCCTTCAAACGTCTTTTCTTTTTATGACCCCTTAAGAAGCCAAATGTCGTCTTCTCTGAATAAATGGATGCACAACAATGTGAAAGCTAGCTGAATTGCTCATATGGTTGAAATGGTCACAGAATGAAATACCTTTTGTTTACAAAAGAGCTATAAAAACGTTGTTTTCATTAGGGATGTCCGATATTAACTTTTTTCCGATATATATGCCGATATTGTTCAAACACTTAATTTCCGATTCCGATATCAACCGATACCGATATAGCGGGCCATTGGTAGAAGTTAAGTGTTATGCACTCACTAAGGTGATGGGTTAAAACACTGGTGTAAAACCTTCATAAACAGTTTGACGCGGCCAGATGTGTTAACGCAAACAAACACATGCACAGGAAAACAGAAGATCGAACATGAAGATGTTCAAGAGCGTTAGGGCAGGCATTTTTGAAAAGATTGAAAAGGAAAAAACATAAGGTTAAAATTAGGGATGTCCGATATTAACTTTTTGCCGATACAGATATTAACTCAATAATATTTCTTTGTTTATCTGTACAAACCACTGTCTGAGTTGCTGGCTCCAGCATTCTGGATACAATCCCCTGATTATCAATAGAGATTAATAAAATAAGCTGCAATGCTGCCATCTAGTGACTGGAGGTTATAGAGGAGTTAACAGTTACGGGTATGGGGGAGTCTTTCTTGCTGGGTTATATTAGTTTCATTGTCTCCCTAACGTCGTCCTTCTCCCACAGAGTCTGAGGTATTTTACCAGCCTGTTTCTCTAGTAACCTCAGATGGCTCTGTTGCCCTACAATGCTTTCGAATCACTAGCATTTAAAACAAAAATACTCTGAAATAACACGGCCATAAAACATGACCTTTGAAAGTCCTGCTGGACAGAGCAAGTTTATTCTTAACAATTCAATATTTTCCCGTTTCTTTTTGACATCAGAATACCAAAAATTACAGCTCAGAAGAATGTGGGACCTCCGACCGAGTTCAGTTACATAAGGGTGAAGATTTATGTGAGGGAGCCGAGACGGAGACCTGCCGATGACAGGAGCGCGTCGGTTCACCAGTGTTATTTCTGGGTGTCTACGTACATATCGACGGATTTCTCTCCACGTCTGCACATTTCTGAGTCTGAGCGACGGCACTGCTGATCATGAGGCTGTGTGAATTCCATGTTCCAAGAACTTCATGATCTTCTTATATGAGACACACACCCTACAGGGGTTACATTTGTCAAAGTAGACGTTAACCTAACAGTTGTTTAATAGTCAAAATAATAATAGTTAAAAGTCATAATAATAATAATAATATTAAAAAATAGTAATATTTTTCAATCAATTACTAGATATTTCTGGTGACCCCATATGGGGTCACAACCCAAAAGATTAAAAAAAACTGTAGTAAGTTAATCACCAGTCAAATATACAATAGACCTTTTTTTCCAAATATGAACATAAGAACAATATATTTTTATGGAGGAATCTGATTACTGTATTTTTTCTGGACTATAACTCACACTTTTTTCATCCTTTGACTAGGTTTGCGACTTATACTCAGGTGCGACTTATATATTAAAATATATAATATCACATGTTTGTCTTCGCAGTTTGAAAAAGAAACCTGTAATGTTTCATTCTTTTGTCTGTCCTTCACATAGTCAAAATGATCCTCCTAGAAAACTGTGATTTGTGTCCTGGTCGAGTCCTAAGTGGCAGCTGCTCTAGGTTTTTGTGTTCTTTTAGAGATCTTCCGACAGAAGATGAACTCTGACTTTCCTTTCATCTACAGACATACCTGTGAAATTACCGCCGTCCTTTCCCAGGTAACCAGCTGACTCAAACAGTAATTTATGGCTCCCACAGCTAACTCATGAGTCAAGGCTCTACAAACCTCATCAAAGTTCTGTACTTACGCAGAGGCTAACACGTGCGCATTTATACTTGTGCTGTCGGACGGATGTCCCCGCTTTTTTTTCGTAACACACAGCAGCGTGTTATGCCTTTGTACTGGTGTTCTTTCATGTGTGTGTAGTAGGAGTTTGACCTTTGCTGAAGTTAAAAGAGACAGATCAGATCAAACCCTGACCTCCAGTGTCACTGTTCTGCCCTGTGTTCCGTGTACAGTCACGAAAAGTCACTTTGAAGTTATTTTGGATTCACTGTGATGGAGGAGCCACTGACTTCTACTGCTGCATGTGTGCACGTGTGTGAGGCACACACACTTTTAGGACTCCTACAAAATTTGGCATTACTGCGACAAACGATGACTTGAGCTCTCAGTTTACGATGTCCTTGACGTTTCGTGGTTCCGTCGCCATCGCCCATAAATGTATTAAGAACGTCTTGTTTCAACATTACGATGTAGAAAAAACATGTTCAAACCTGCCAACTAGTTAGCACAGGAAATAGTTGTCGAATGGCGCTATATATGTGTGAAACTGCTGTGTTTACATACGCTGGTTGTGCGCCATTTTAGCCCACTTTGCAGGGATCTCAATCTCAAATAAACTGGGGGCCTCAGTTAATGCTGCCATCTCATGGAAGGGTCGAATACTAACATCAGGGGGTCAGATAGTATATCAGTACTTCTAAAATAGTGGGGCGGGTCCCCCTAGGGCTTCCAATGGAACACTAGACATAAGTGGACCACTGCTGTAATGCTTGAATGATAACAAGCCTCCAGTCACTAGGTGGCAGCAACTCATACAGTGGTTTGTACAGATAAAAATATACAGGTTATCAGGGCCTCTATAGTATTTTAGTTCTTCGAGTTGTGAGACGGGAGGGCGTAAAAACAATTCTGTCCTCAAGGGGGAGGTATGACAGAATATAATTGAGGACCACTGCATTATACTGACATCTAGTTATAAGGCCATAGATCCTACTTAATGTAATGAGAAGTCAGGTTGATGTAATACCAGATAATGTAATGACAATGACAGCTCAGTGGAATCAATCGTTCATCTTATCTACCTAACCTTACGTAAGATAATACCATAGATACCATAACACAGGTCAACTAAGACACATGTTATGGATTATGATTATTGTCATACGTTTAAAGAAAGAAAGTGA